AAGACTTTTAACACTTCCATCAAGAGCATTGGCCTTCTCTTGAGCTCTTTGTTTTTCTTCGTCGGTTAAATCTCCATAAAGGATGCTTAGGTGTGGCATATAAGCTGCAAATGTAACCAGAGAAATTGATGATGAGCATAAGAGAAAGAGGGGGGGGGGGGAGCTTGTTAAAATCAGAGATGAAACAACCAATGAACTCATTAACTTAAAAAAAGTAGGACTTACGAGTTGGACTCTTGAATCCAAAATGAGCCCAACAGTGCGCACCAGTATCCATAACCTGAAATAATTAAGTTCACAAGATAAATGTCACTGGTATAATCTGAGCACTTGATAAAACAAACAATGAAGTTCACAAGACAAATGTCTGAGCACTTGATAAACCAAAGAAATGTCACTGATATATTCTGAGAACTTGATAAACCAAATAAACCGGACCCGGTAAACCCCACTTGAACATAGGGTCTAGATGGGTAAGATGTATGCAAACCTAACCTCTACCCAAAAGAGTAGAGTGGTTGTTTCCATGAAGACTCCTAGCTGGTGCAAGAGTGTGAGCACTAGATATGAAAATGAAATCTACATGAAACATAAATCCTATGAAAAAAAAGCATTTTTATCACCAATTTCCATTGATTGCAGTGATATGATATGAACTACTATAAGGACCAAAGAAATTAACCAAAACTGAAAAAGAAATAAAAGAAAATTGACGATAATAGGAGAGAAGAAAACTGAAACATCATTTTCCATAGTCTACTGAATCATCTATTCGTGGTACAAAACAACAATGCTATTGATTTCCTACAGTCCGTACCTATTGATTCGAGTGATTCAATCATCCAAATGGAAAAATGAAAAGAATAACCTCAACAGCAGGGGACTCTAAGACAGAGGGCTATCTAGCATTACCTTCTATGAGCAGCTTATTCCCCCCTCCCCCCTTTATTTTCTGCTCCTCTCTAACTGTAACATGAAATGGAAGAGCATCTAAACTCCATATTTTCTTCGATAAAAATGCATATAAATAGTTCCTAGTATTTATAAATAAAGAACAAACTACTACTGAGTTAGTGGGTGCACTATCATATCATAAGCCTAATAATAAGGAACCAATGATCATACTTTCTAAGCAAGAAACTTAATTTAAAAACATCCTTTTATCCAAAGTAGTACAAGAGTAACGGACTCATATAAATACCCGCCCCTCAAACAAAGGCCTTGTTCTCAAAGCCAGTAGCTTGATCGCCATTGTCTAGTTCGAAGGGATGGAAATTGGTATCTCCCATGTCGCCTTGAGAAGTAGGAATTAAGGCGGATTACAACAGTGTCCAGGGTGAAACTTCTCGGAGCAATGATGGTCGAGACCTTTGGGGTGGCGAGCTTGGACTTGTTCTGGTGTCAATCGACGAAGAGGAATAGTGGTGGGTGGCTGTGGTGATATGGGGAACATCATCGAGGTGGTTGATGGAGACGGTGGTAGAGGGGATGAGAAGGGCGAGAATGGGGTGGTTTGGGAACTGGTCGAGTTGCTCGAAAAATTGGCGGCCAATTTATCATCGGTTAATTTGGCCAACCCATAAGGCGTGTGAATGGAGGAGAGGTGGTGATGGGAGAGTTCTTGTTGAATGTCACATCGAAGACCCATGATCAAGAAATTGATGAGGGTGTGTTGGGAGAGTCCGACCACTCAATTGCTAATACGCTCAAACTCAGTTTGGTGAAAAGGGTGTCAGCCATGGAGGCTATCGACTCCTCCAATGAGAGAGGATCACGTTTGGGAGGCATGGGATTCTCAATGAGAGCACCAACTGATACAACCTTTTCGAGATGGCTAGTCTCCACAGAAATATCAAGAGGAGAAGAGAGTTTTTGGAACAATTTTCTCATTATCATTGACAGAAAAGAATTACAATTAATATGTATAAATAAAGAACCAATTACTACTAATTTAGTGGGTACACTAAGACCACTATCTCATCCTAAGCCTAAGAATAAGGAACCCATGACCATACTTCCTAAGCAAGAAACTTAATTTTAAAAAAAGACGTTATGTTATCCAAATCAGTAAATAAGTCCGTAAGTGTTCATACGTTTTGTTTATAGCCCTTGGAAAAGTCTTTCTCACACTTGAGTTCGAATAAATGTTGGCTTAATTTTTTTTTTTTGGAAACGAAAATTCATTAAAAACCTAGCAAGAGGCTAGGGGAAGGAATTACAGAGGTTCAAAACAACGAAAAGGACAAGTTCTCTACAACAAAACATCTTTTAGGATCGTGTTATGCCTATACAACATCCATCTCAAAGAGTTATTAATAATCAAATAAGAAGTGACGTCCTTCTTTAGCTATAATTTATTGAAAGCAGCTCTATTCAGGATGCTCCATATAGAATAGCAAGTAATAAACATAATAGCCTCCGAGCACTGACGATTCAACGAAGAAATGTAGGCCTTCTTTATTCCTTCCAATGCCGCTCCAAAGGAATGAAAAGAAGAGAAAAGAAAACTGCCACCAACTTTACGTTCTTCTCCAAATTGCAGCAGAAACATCACACAAGAAAAGGGTATGATCTACTGTCACTGTGACCTGCTTACATAATGGACAAATAGTATTATCAAGGTCTATACTCATGTCTTCTAGTCTTGTTTTGACGGAATTCGACCTTGTAAAGCCCTCCAACTAAAGATATTGATTTTGGATGGGACTAGTTTGTTCCACCTAGTTGAGAAGTTACCATTCTCAAACATCAAAGTCTCAATTTTTTCTTTCGTACTTTTGACCGAAAAATCGCCATCACCTGAAACTTTCCATTTTCGTTTATCTCTTTAGGAGTTTAGGTAGAAATTTCCCAAATTCCTAGATAATTGCATTAGGTCGTCGACTTCTCTACCACTTCGAATTTCTCTACGCCAATCCCATTTGGATCCTCCTCCCATTCTGTCCGCCACCATCGTAATGATATCATTTTCAAAAGCAAAAAGTCTAGGAGATAGGTCCTTTAGTTTACTGTCACCTATCCAATTATCACACCAAAATAGGGTGCTCTTGCCGTCACCAACCTGTTTGAGCATAAGATCATCAAAAGATACACCTTTCAAAACCAACCTTGACATCGTCTTTTAAGACTTTGGACCATGGACCTTGATCACCAGGTAGCATATGGTCATTGGTGATACTGCCATGCTATCCGTGTATGGTCTTTATCACTTTTGACCAAATACAGGTTGGTCCGGAATGAAGTTTCCACACCCACTTAACTAGGAGTGCGAGGTTAGCTGCATCAATACTTCCCAACCCAAAACCTCCTCTATCAAGACTTTTAATGACATCTCCCTATTTGACCCAAACCCCGCCCCGCCCCTCCCCGCTATCTGATCCTCGAAATAAATCCTTTCTTATTTTCTCCATTCTTTTAAGGACAGCCGCAAGGGGCATTGAAAATGGACAAAAAGTAAGAGGCATCCTAGAACAGCTTGGGCCAGGACTTTCCTTCCACCCAAATAAGGCTATAGTTTTCCATCTTGACAATTTGTGTTGAAAACTTTCGACAATTGGGTCCCAAACCTTGATTCTATTCACATTTATCTCCTAGAGGAATCCCAAGGTATCTACAGGATTTAGATCCTACTTCTGAACAAGATATTCGGAACTTATTTGAGATATAATGAATTTCTTTATTTGATTTATATCTATTGATTCTTAATTTCTTTTCGAATAGGAAAATGTGTTCATGTTTGTTCATTTATTAAATAAACGAACTTCTCATTGAACAGTTTGCTGAACGTTTGGTTCATTTACACCCTATATATAATATAACAACTCTCTTTCAATGGCGGAAACAAGTGAGACAGAAGAGTTGGAAAGACGATAATAGAGAGAAAATTAAAGAGAGTGAAGACATGCATTTTTATTATCTTGAATGAATACCTCCATCCTTACACAATATTTATACCACATTTAAGAAACAGGCTCGGAGACCTCTTCCAACAAAATTAATAGATTTGACCCTCAATTAATTCATCTACTCCCTGTAACAATATATTAATCAAAACTCATAACAATTTCTTGTTTTTATGAAATATTATCTTTGATATGCAGAAACATTAAACCTTTTGAAAGACTTTAGGGACCGTTTTTACCTGGGTAAACGCTTTTTAAGTCACATTATCTTACCCGATGAATATAATAAGGATCAAAAATCTTACCCGGTAAGAGCGAGACAAGGACCAAGAGTCTTACCCGGTAAGTGATGACGACGACTCTTACCACGATTAGCGCTTACCGGGTAAATTGTTGCATACGATGTCGTTTTAGTAGACTAAAATCTTACACGGTATGTAAATGATATAGTGTTAAATTTTACTTTTGATAAACGGCCCCTTATAATAATTAATTAAATCATATCTAAAAAAGTAAGTTTATATTAAAATTATGGATATTTCTATACTTATAACAATTAAATCATAATAGACAAACAAACAGTTGGTTCAATATAAGTGATTATGAAACTGAATTTAAAAACAATGTTCTTAATAACTTCTTACATTACTAAATGAAAGAATTTTACCTATGAACTTTTCCCTGAAAAATCTGTCGTTAAAGGGGGATTCGTCACAAAACTGTCAGAAAAGTTTGTGGGTAAATTGTTGGTGGATAATTCAAATTAGTGATAGATTATCCAGAGATTCTCTGAGTGATCCATTGTTATTTTCTCAAAAAACATCGGATTCTACCCAACCATTGATATTTTCTAGGTGATCCGTCGGTGATTACCGATGGAAATTTCTCTGGGTGATTTTTGTGGGTAAAAATCATTTACCCCGAAATGCTCCTAGCATAGAAGCCTATGGTTCCATCTTGTTGTTGCTGGAGGTACACATCCCTCTTCTCGGTGTGGAGCGAGCAATTTCAACATCGTTAGCAATCCACCGGTTAGGATCATGAGGGAGAAGAAAGTCTCCATCAAAAACAGCTCGGCACCTCCAAACCCAATACCATATTTGATAAGAACTGAAATGGACGTTTAGCACCACTAGCAAGATTGATTAAAGAAATAGGAGAATGGGTATCAGTATGAATTAGAAATTCATGACACCAAGCTACTGCTGCTGATTTACTGATGAATGACTGATAGTGGTAGCATGTAGCTAATATTGTTACCCTTACCTGTCCGCCTTGAAYTACTGCGCCTGCGCATACCTTTTCTTGCTCCATCCAGAAGGTAGCTTGAACTGGCATTGTACAGATATATAGCCAGTAGAAAGAACTATTCCCAAGCTGGAGAGGGATGATACCTACATAGTTAAAAAGACCTTAAAAGGGCTATAGGCCTGCCTATCATAAAGAGGAAGAATCATACTACCCACATTGTTTGCCTTTCGACAGAAACATTTTTTTTTGTAGTGTTAGAGAGTAGGGGAATATCTCATAAGAGCCTCATGGCAATTTAACCCACTTAATAAAGACCAACCCTTGAGCATTAAATGAATCATTTAAGAGCTTAGACCTTGGGGTGTGGGTGATCATGGTAGCCTCTTCTTGACACACTCAGACACATATCATTTAAAGGTCAAAAGATGGGCCTTGGCCTTTACATGGGTATTCATGTGCCACAATCCGCATAACTCTCTGAAAATTTGATCTCGAACAATGGCTTATGCAGGTTCTCCACGACCTAACCCGTGCACCATGTCACGTAACTCCGTGTTCGCGTTTCCCAGTTTCGACAGTTGAGAAAGCAAACTCATGTATATGGTTGTTCCTGTATGGGGAAAAGGTTACGAAAATCAAGTTTCACTTATATTTTTGCACCAAAATCCATCACCAAACATCTTTTAATTCGGTAGATTTAAGTAGAAACATGAACTCAGTTGTTGTATCCTCTAGGCAAACGCCCATGCTACTGGCGAACTTTTGTCTTAGGACACTGCTACTTAAATTGAACGTATCCTATATTTGAGAAATGGTATAAGTTGTTCATGATGACTTAATTGTATGAAAGCACGGTATAAAAATGAAAATTTATAGTCATTTCATTTTCTTTTCATAGAACAAAAAAATAGAATGATTCATTCGATAACAACTTAAATAAACAAAACACATGTCGCAAAAACTAACGTAAATGTCTAGAATAATGAAACCGGCAAACGACTTGAGACAAAAAGTGGATAAATATGACCATAATATTTGAATTTTCAATGCTTATTTGTAAAAAAAATAAAACAAAATGTCTATAACCATCGACACTAGAGATTCAAAGTTCAAACCAACGTGTTGGTCGTTCAAAGAGCATCTCCGATGCATCAATCGTCTCCATTAGTGGTTGAAAAGGAGGTACGAGCCACACGCACAGTCTCAAGAGTGGTCATGGTGGCGTCGGTCTTTGAGACATCATTCTCATATATTGAACTCGTTGTAGGCATCAACTTGGACAACCTCTCCACGTTGCTTTTACCCCATAACATCACGTACAACCCGACTATAATGATTACGGCTCCTAACACACTGCAAACAATATTACGTAATCATTTGTTATTTTGTTACAGAATAACGTTGCAAAACACCATTATCAATTCATTATTGTGTAAATGTGATATTTTTATGTTGTGTATGCAATATACAACATACAGTAGAACAATATCGGGTTTATAGGACGTTAAATATGTATAAGTGTCATAATAAATTGTTTTATAAGATTTAAGTTTATTCAAATAATTTTCTATCCAGTGTAAAGCGATTTTATTATAGTTATGTATATTGGCAATTTGATTACCTTCCCACATGTAACTTTTCGTCGAGTAAAAGCGATCCTCCTATTGCCGTGAATACAAGCAGCAAAGGGTTAAAATTTGACACGAAAAGTGGGCCTCGTAAATGTATAGATGTCGTGATAAGTGTAACTGTTACCGCTAAACCTATTCCCTGTCACACATACATATGAATCAAGATTTAGCGTATTTCACGTTAATCATATGATAGAATCATGACAAAGATAACTATGAGCATAATCAAATGAAAACGATAAAAAGGTTGACAACCATGACAAACCCTTGTTTCATTATGAAACAATATATGTGAAAGGAGTGTTGGTTTCATAATATTATTATTTTCAATGTGTACCTTTTGTTTTGCGTTGTGAAACAACACTGTACTTTTACAACATCGTTTCAGAATGTGAAATAATATTGATTACCGGCTCTCAACTTTTTTGAGGTTATTACTTGATTATACCACGAAATAACTATTTACCGTGAAAAGAACGGCAAGGAGTCTGACGTCCAACCCGAGCTTCCATAGACTCCAAGATCTCTCGGTACAAAGAGCGAAAACAAGTGATTGTATGAAACCCATTGTCGTAATCAAAAACGTGCTTGAATAATGACATGGATAATCCGCACTCATTCTACCCTGTTTTATTCAACAAATTATGGTACAAAAATTCAATAATCAATACTTCACAAAATTTTATATTTCTAATGAATTAATTACTAGTTCTGAAACCTAATGCGAGATTAATCACCTGAACTGTTAAACTAAGGGCAATAGCTAGAGAAGAAGCCAGTGCCAATAGAGAGCCAATGCTATGATGTGTGGAAGTGTTATGGGTTGCTGCCACGTGTCCACCTATGCGTTGACCGCCATGTAGAATGTTGAAATGAGTTGACCAGATGTTGAGCTGATGGCCTTTGTAAAAGGTAAGAACCATGGCTCCAGCCACCCCCACAAGAGTTCCAATTACCTTTGCTTTCCCTTCCATTTTGCCTATTTCAACCCTCTCCAATCTTTGGTTCCAGAATTTGTTAGTTATGTATTTGAAATTATATAAATAATATTATTTTGTTTTGGTTTTAATTAAAATAATTGACATTTTATGTGAGTTAATTGAAAAATAAATAAAAATAATATTATGCATTCATTTTCTTTTTAATTACAATCTAAAAGGAAAAGATTTATTGATGATATATATATGATTTACTTTTCAAACCACGTTATTGATACAAATCATATAAACCTTATTTAACCAATCATAAGTTTTTATTTTTTTGTAATTATGAGAGGTTGATTAATCATTTTTATTGTGGAGGCTGTTAATCATGGATATTATCATTTTTATTATTTTAATATTAGAGAAAATACATGAAACAGTTTTTTTAAAATTTCAATAAGTATTATATGAAACAATTTCATAATCATATATGTAACAACTTCATCAAAAAAAGTATTATATGAAATAATTTCACAAGATTAAACAATTTCATGAAAAAAATTAATAAGATTAAACAATTAAATCGACAGATGAGGGTAGTTTGCACGATTTGTACAAACTGAGTGGTTTGCATTTGATCGTTCCTCTCACACACACACACACACATATATATATACATATATATAGAGAGAGAGAAAGAGAGAGAGAGTTTGTTTCAAATACAACCTGTTGCATTTGTACAA